GCATGATATCCCTCTCCAAGGACCGGTCTCTCCTCACAACATGTCCAAAGTAAGTTAGACGGAGCCTCAGAATCCTTGCCTCCAAGGAGCCACCCGGTTTAACCCTCTCCAGGACAAATCTGTTTGTTTTCCTAGCAGTCCATGGTATTCTCAAAACTCTTCTCCAGCACCACAGCTCAAAGGCATCAATTCTCCTTCTATCCTCCTTAGTCATTGTCCAACTCTCTGATGCATAACAGGTGATTGCGAAGACCATGGCCTGTATCAGATGCACCTTAGTCTCCAGAGAGACACCACTGCTCTTCAGCACTTTGGAGAGGTCCCTAACAGCAGACTTTCCCATGGCAATGCGCCTTTTAATTTCCTGGCTGCTGGTGCCAAGACTGTTGACTACAGAGCCAAGCAAACTAAAGCTGTGTACAATCTCAATCTCTTCACCATCCATCCTGAGGCTGCCAATTGGTCCAGTGGTGAGAATCTTTGTCTCCTTGACATTGAGCCTCAATCCATATTGTAGGCTGCAGTCCTTGACACTCTGCAGCAGGCGCTTCAGGGCGCTTCAGGTCCTCCTCAGTTTCAGCAAGCAGGGTTGTGTCATCCGCATAACACAGATTGTTGATAAATCGTCCACCAATCTTGTTGTACTATGTACAACAGTCTGTTACTGTTGTGAATTTATTATGGCTGTGAAGTTGGACAGAGAAGGAGTAAAGTAAGAACATGAGAAGATGAGCTTCCTGACAGTGTAGCATGGTGTCAACATCCACTTCACAATTCCACTTCACAATGGTGAATATCCTTCAGTCTGTGGTGTAAGCGCAGTAAGAGTTGCAAATGAAAGGCCTGTCATTAATTGGGCAGTGACATTACCAGCTCTGTTCTTCCATTTCCTCCTCAATCTCCACTTGTGACCACACTTAAGACCACATACGTTGCAAATTGTTGTTATGTGCAACTTACAGTCCTGAATTTATTATATGGCAGTAAGGACTCCTGCTCTCAAAGGGACTCCAGGGTGTGTGTGTAAACATAGTTCCTTTTAGGTTGAGTGTCCTGATACGTTATCAGGGGTGTGTAGTTAATTGTCCTTTTCTGATGTTTGAGAGGCGAGATCAAAGAGCTTCGACTAAGCCCTGGGCTCCAGACATCAGTGGCCACTTGCTACCTTTGTGGCCATGACAGTCACACAGTGGGTGTGGTGGTGCTGTACCATGCCCCTTCATTCTGAGGATTAAACGATTATGTTTTATTAAGCTCTGGGCTGCTTTTCCCTGCTCTGGGTTCTCCTGTAGAAACACTGGGCCTGATTTCCGTTTTCTTCCTAAAGCATGTTCTGTGTGTGTGCTGGAAGGTGAAGTCATTTCATTCACGTGTTTGGTGACCAGAGGACACAGGCTGGACTGGAACTGCCTTGGGGTGTGAGGTCTTCATGTTGACCCTGTGTCACCCTCCAGTGCTGGCCACGCTCCTCGTGAGGAAAAACAAACAGTGCCTCCCAGACACTGTCGGGGGTCATTTCCCCAGGCTGAGGACTCTTCCAAAGTTGGCCTGAAATAGCCTGGAGGTGTAGATGTTTATATGAAATTCTTTAATAAGATGCGTAAGAGGAGAGACTGATGTGGAAAGCTGGTAGATTGAGAGCCGTGTGCACTCCTCACATTGGCCCGAGCTGCTTTCTTACCTCCTCCTCCTCCCCTCTTCTTGTTGCCACTGAGCCAAACTCCCCCACCCCGTGAGTTTGTGGGGCCGTAAATCCGCAGGAGGAGATTGCCCACTTTTCTCACTCAGCCAGCACGCAGTGAATTCGACCCACTAGAGACGCGCAGTCTTCGGGTTAGCTGTGTAACTCCCTGCAGAGGCACCACCAGAGCGCACTGGCTTCTTATAAGCTGGGAAGCCAGAGAAAGTGACTTCAAAGGCCTGTTGCACTCTTGATTTCTTCTTTTAAATAACCCTGAGACATGACGAATGTGTGTCTGTCCTAAGTGCTGTCCTTTAACCTTGGCAGTTTGTGTGTGTGTGTAAAATGAGAGAATTTACAGAAATTTACCACAAGTCAGTCTTCTCTGTTTAGCTTCAAACAGGAGCATCAAATAGAATCATCCATCGTTGTTGCCAAACTGACCACTATAGTCATTAAAAACCCAAACCGAAACTCGTTTCTGCTGCGTTGATTGTGACTCCTTGTAGCCTCGTGGTGGTGAGCTGCTGCTGGTGCTTCCCAGAGCTGGAGCCTCTGCAGAAGCCTCACCAAACTTGGCACGTGGAGCAGCTGGCAGAAGCCAAGGGCTGACCTTTTGGCCAGCACCCAACCGCTTTAATACTGTGCCACCAACACCATGACAGTCATTAGTAAAATATTTTCTACGAATCTCTTAAATTCTGTGGTGGTGCAATTCTCTTCTACTTAACTATTTGAACAGCTGTGAGGAGGTATCTATACCTGAGTGTGTATGTGTGTATGAAAGAGTACCACCGGGGTATGAGAGGGTTTTGTTCCCCGCCTTAGGCAGACCACTTGATTTTCCTTATAATTCTAGTCTCCTATATTTTAAATTTTATATTATTTTGCATACAGAATTTGTATACATTGTATATAAATAAATTTTATAAATTCATATACAGTGTATTTTTCACATACACTGTTTCACACATTCCTTCATTCACAGTGTTTGAAATAATCACTGATAGACATTGCGTTTTATAAAATTAATCACCACTGATCTCAGCCTACTATTACTCCGTCTTTTCATTATGCCTAATTATACCTTTTATTATTTCCTAAATCCTTGTAATATGAGTTTTAAAATGAAATATTTCACTAGTACATATCTCACATCCACAGCCCCATGCTCAGCACCAGTGAACTTGGCATTAGAATCTGGGTCTGTGCACATTTGACAATGGATCTAGCTCACCTCAAACAAGAAGAGCTGGGCTCTTCTCCAGTGTTCTGGAGACAGGAGATTCCAGTCTCTTCCTGTGTGCTGTCGTCATGTTGCTGACACCAGTAACATCCTCAGTTCTTGAAAATCAGCCGTGAGGTAGTCCACACTCCTTTTCTGTCTGAGTCTTTGGAATGAGCTTTGCTTTGTGCTTCATAAACATCTGACGTGGGCCTAGCCACCTGCAGGTACTGAGCCTTCTGTGTCTGTGGTCCTGGGACTGACCAGCACTGTCCTGGGGCAGGGAACAAAGACTAGTGGGCCCCAGCAAGAGATGGAGTGCTGGGGTTCATCCAGTGAGAGCCAGCTGCCCTTGGGGAGATGGTTAGCATCACAGGGTGTTTTAAGAACTCATCCTGATAGCATCGGGGGCAGGGGAGGGAAGTCCGCCTTTATGTCTACATGGGCCCAGTAATTCAAACCTGGTTGTTCAAAGGCCACCTGTAAGTTAAGTGTGTGATTTCTGACTGCAGGAGAGTTTAGTTTCTGTAACCTCCAAGTTGACCAATGGCATCTACTTACTTACTTACTAACTAAATTCTACAGAACATATGTACATACATACATACATTCAATAGACCACAAAATATCAGAGTAGAGGGTTACCATCTTTAAGAGGCCCTAATGGGTCAAATTACAAAGCAGTCTAATTTTTAAAAATGGTTTTCAAGCTTAGCAATAATCCTTTCTTAGTCTTATTTTTTAACACTATTCAGTCTGTACTTAACTATCCAAGATAACAGTTAAAAAATTCTGTTAAACTAAGCAATAACTTTTAGACTATGAAACAAATACGTTATCAGCTTTCCATTTAGAATAAACATTAGAATAAACTTGAAACCCACCTGTTTTCAGTATAGAATTCAGCATGAAGCTCACATGACAGCTTCTTTACCAATCAGATTGCATGGATTTCATGGTGGGATGGTCCCTCTGTTTCATTGGATTGCATGGATTTCACTGTGGACGGTCCTTCTATCTCATGGGATTATGTGGATTTCATTGTGGGATGGTCCATCTGTTTTGTGAGATTATGTGGATTTCATTGTGGGATGGTCCCTCTATTTCATAGTTTTGCGATGTCACTGTGGGATGGTCCTTCTGTTTTGTGAGATTATATAGATTTCATTGTGACATGGTCCCTTTGCTCATGGGATTTTGTGGATTTTATTGTGGGATGGTACTTCCGTTTTGTGGGATGGTACCTCTGTTTTGTGAGATGGTCCCTCTATTTCGTGGGATTGCATGGATTTTACTGTGGACTGCCCTTCTATTTCATGGGATTGTGTGGATTTCATTGTGGGATGGTCCTTCTGATTTGTGAGATTACATGGATTTCATTGTGAAATGGCCCCTCTGTTGATGGGATTACGTGGATTTCATTGTGGGATGGTCCCTCTGTTTCATGCAGTGAGTGTTTAGTTCTTCCTCCACATGGGTCACTTGTAAAAGATCCAATGGGGACCTGTAAAGATGGGATGAGGGTGGGCATAGGTCAATGGTCATAAATTTTCTAAAACAGTATATGGGAATGATTGTATGAAACACATGATGAATGAAGGAGAGTGTGAAACATAGTATATGGGAATTTGTATGGAAACTGATATAAAATAAAAAAGAAAGGAATTAGCATAATGAGAGAGCCAAAGATTCTCATCTCATGTAGAAATTGTGCAGAGGTCAGCAGTGGGCCACGTGCAGGCCCAAGAGCAAGGCAAGTATTGAGATAACTACTCCCCTGGTGTGAGTGACTGAGAAAGCAGAAGGGAGGCTAATTACCACAAGTGGAGCCGGAGGACTCACCTCGGCACACACTCTGCCCCTGACAAGGTGACATGTTTGTTTTTAGATACAGCTCTGGTACTTGAACTCTAATACAAGGCTAGTTCAGAGTGAGACATGCACCCCAGCTCTGCAGCTCATTCTGAAGACTCTATCCCTCCTGAGTCAGACTCGGGTCAGGCTGGACCGTCCCCAAGCCTTGGCTACAGTTGTGTGCTGTTTATGCATCCATGACATTTCACCCTGCCCCCTTCTTTGTTTCTGTCATAACAGGTTCACCAAGCTCAAGAGTCTAAACCTTTCCAATAACCGTTTGGGGGACTTCCCGCTGGCGGTGTGTAATATCCCAACTCTGACGGAGCTCAATGTGTCCTGCAATGCCTTGAAAGCTGTCCCTGCTGCCGCTGGAGTCATGCACCAGTACGTACCCCACGGGGTGACCCCGGGGACACCAGCAGGGTGGGCGTGCCACCCACTGCACACGTACCGGGCCTTCCATATTGCCCATAAGTTTTAGCTTTCACTCACATCAAGAGATTGGCACTGTCTGATCTGAGTAGAAAAGTTGCTTGTTTACATCTCTGTAAACATTGCAGAATCTCGGGGGAAAATTAGTGCTGAAGGTCCCTGTATATGAGTGGTTTTAAAAGAAGGGGGAAAAACCACAGGACTCCACTGTGGCTCAGTTGGCTCCGATTCCTAGAGTCTTAGATTCCAGGGTTATGGCTCTGGGCAGAGACTACCCATCATTCTCCTGTGGAACCTCTGGTAGAGTTGAGCTGCCAGCCTTTTGGTTAATAACCTAACATGTTAAGCACCAGGCTTCCAGGGCTTCTTAGACACAGAGGGGAAAATGGTAGTTAATTTTCATTCTCTGAGTTGTGCTAAGCTCAAAGAGTTAGAAATTAATTTTTAAAAATAAATAAGCAGCTCATGAAATATTATGCAAAATGGGTGACCCTAGAGGACATTATGCTGAGCGAAATATCTTGGTCACAAAAGGACAAATATTGCAGAGAGCCACTGTTATAAAACAAGACAGACATCAAGGTTGAGGGAAGACAGAGAAGGAGGGGAGGAATGATGTATTGAAACAGATGAGGGAGAGATCTGTTTAAAAGGGATATATGAATGGATATTCTTGTCATTACAGAAGTCCAAAGTGAAGGCTGTGTAGTGGAGTGAACTTGGGGGAAGGGATTGCATAACAGTGAAAGAGTTTTTCCTTTTCTTTTCAAGGAGAAGAGTGAACGGGGTGGGGAGGGGGTGGGCAGGGAGAAAAGTGCAACAATGAATGACTGGCAACCCTAAGTCTCTGTAAACTTTCATTAAAATTATTTTTTAAAAAAGAATAAAAAATTGAAAAAAAAAAGGTCTTGGGTCTTTACTGTTGCACTAAAACCAAAACCAATCAATCAATCAGGCGGGCCAGGTATTGACTGAGACATAGCCCACACTACAGTTGGTTCATGTCGCTCTCATTTGTTTGTACAAGGTAGGGAGCTGGGGCATGAATTTCATTTTCAACAATCTGTTAAGGTGTTTATCTAACTTGCCTCTCTGTGCCTGGTTACCCCACACGCTGCCCTTACGCAGTTCCCAAGGAGAGATACCTTTTCTCTGCTTTATACGTATTGTATTTCGGGATTGATAAAGGTGTCTGGCTCCTGCATTTCTCTTGACGGTTCTTCTGTTTTCTTTCACCAGTCTGCAGACCTTTCTGTTGGACGGAAATTTCCTGCAGTCCCTTCCTGTCGAGCTGGAGAGCATGCAGCAGCTCACTTACCTCGGCCTGTCTTTCAATGAATTCACCGACATTCCAGAGGTGGTGGAGAAGCTGACCGCAGTGGAGAAGCTGTGCATGGCCGGGAACTGCCTGCAGACGCTGAGGCTCCAGGCTCTGAGGAGAATGCCTCACATTAAGCATGTGGATCTGAGGTAACCGTTTCGGAGAAAGAAATCCCCTTTGTTTGGTTTGCTTGAAAGGAGGGGTAGGCCAGAACCCTCCCAGCCTCAACATGGCAAGCAGACATGGTGGTCAAAGTCTAGGCCCTATTCCTCTGTCTCCCAAGGAAAGAATGATTAATGGGGGGGGCTTGCTCATATCTGAAGTATCTTAAAGGCTTTACTTTGGTGAACTGGAGCTCAGTTTTAATTTGCGTGAACAGATGGGGCCACAGAGTCAGAAAGGTCTATTTATAGTGGGTGAAAACTATATAATTGAGGGGAAAGTAGATATTTTTTCCTCTTAAACTCACTTTTCAGGGGTTCATTTGCAGTGTTTGACATCCCCGAGCATTTTCCCTTTCTTAATTTTTGTTTTTCTTCCTTTCTTTTCTTAACATAACACATCATTAATGTAATTTGCTGACTTGACTTACTTCCTTTTTATCTCAATGCTCTACCCTGACTTCATCATTCTTTATCAAAATATGAGACTCAAAGTCTGTTATGGGACCAAGTTTGGCTGCAGCCTGCAGCCTCCCGCTTCGTGTCTCCAGCTGGAAGGAGCCAGCCCAGTCCTTGCTGCATGACAGTACCTCACACTCAGCCCTGTCATCGTGCAGGTCCGGAGGGATTTGCTACCACACAGAACCAATCTGTAGGAGGCAGCTAGTCTAGTGTATTTTAAAGAGAAACCTCAGATCCTGCAAAGCAACTTAGAGGGTGTAGGGTTCGACCTTAACACTAAATTGCCCAGTGATGACACTTTCTCAACCACACTGACCCCTCCCCCAGTGTTATTTTGTTATGTGCTGTTGAGTCGGATCCAACCCTGACGCTCCAGCGAGTTTTCAGAGGCTGTCCATTGCCCATCTTTCCTTCGTGGAGCAGCTGGTGGATTGAAACCACCTGCCTTTGGGTTGGCGGTGCAACTCCTCACCACGAGGCCACCAAAACTCTGGAGACTTCCCCACTAGCCTGGGATCAATAATCACACACTAACCAAAAAGCACAGTTCACAAAAGAAGTCACACTGTGGTTAGGCCCAGTAAGTTCTCACTCGTGGTGACTCTCCTTTGAGTTTCCAAAGCTCTAAATCTTGGAAACAGTGTAAAAGGAAGGTCAGTGAAAGGGAGGAAGATGCTTAGCAAAGATAGATTGACGCAGTGACGGTAACAATGAGCTCAAGTAGATCAGGGATGGTGGCAGTGGCACAGGATAGGGAAGGGTTCAGATCCGTTGTTTGTGGGGTTGTCATGAATCAGAGGTGACTGGACATCACCTAACAGCAACAAGCAGTTGTGATAGAGCTGACTCTGAAACCTTTTTTGAGCTTAACAGTGTCCTGTCAAATGTCTTTGTAGTTAACATTATTTGCCTCAGAGGCATTTGGATTTAGAAATTCCCTCATATTTGAGAATTCAGACTCAATTTTCTTATAACTTTGGAAGAGCCGAGGGCCCTGGGTTGCACTGGCCTCCAAGTCACTACCATAAGCCAGTTTTTTAGTTGGTCATGCAGATCAGAAGACATCATTTTTCATCATCTAATTAGAACTTCCCCCTACAAACAGACCCATCTACTATGTCTAGAAGTAACTGTTCTTATTTAATAAGTCATCATCATGTACCGATAACTTCTTTTACATTGAGAGAGTCAGAGAAAGAGAGGGAGACTGTCAACAAGATGAACTGACACAGTGTAACCAACAATGGATTGGAGCTCTCAGAAACTGTAGGAATGATGCTCGATAGGACAGAGTTCAGATCTATTGTTAATCAGGTCTCTGAGTTGTAGTTGATTTGATGGCACTTAACAATAGTTCCTTTAAGTTGGAGATTAATATATCTGACTTCTCCAAACTGTACCGATCCATCATCTCTGACATAATTTATCCCCCCTCCCTTATCCCTCTCCCTCCCATCGATCTGTGTCTTTGAGTTCTGTAATTTGCTAGAAAGCCTGACGGAATCTCAGGAGCTCTGAGGGATAGGGCTCATGAGGTTGTAGATGGTGTGGACCACAGAGGCTGGTGAACTATGGACCAGGGACCTGCAGGCTGAGGTCATTGTCAGCTGTTAGTGCAGCTGGTTCCAGTTAGATGTCGTGTTCCGAGGCATCTCAGGGCTATAAACCCACATCCCTAGGAGAACTTAGGGTGGTAACTTGGGTCATATCTCCAGTAGGGTGGACCTTCAAGATCTATCCTATCTGAATCCTAGCTCATTAATATAACATCTTAATCCCAAATGAGATCTTGTTAAAGAGGCTAGAATAAAAAAATAGAAGCCTCTGGCTGGAAGGGCCACGTTACTTAATTCATTGTATGGCTCGTAGCCTCTTGAGATTTCTAGTCTTACTGGAGTCATTGAAGTGGTACTACTTCCAGGAAATTTAAATACCGAGATAGACACTGGACCTCTGGAAAGACTGTTGTAACTGCTCCTCCCCGGCCCCCGAGCAGATGAGAGAGAAATCGGGTCCAATCTGCCTCTAATTCTGCCTTCACAGTGTTGCATGGAAGCAAGTAGAATAAGGAAAGTTCCACTTCATTTTTCTGAACAAAGGCCTCACCTTCTTTGGGTTTTCGGCGATGGAAATGTTGCTCCAGATTAAAAGTGATCACTGAGCCTTGTCTTCCCTTCATCTCCTTTCCTCTGGACCGTCTCTCCTGCCGCTTGTTACCCCCTGGCGCCCCTTGATCATTTCTCTTCTCTGTTTTCCATCGTGCTGGTGACACGCGCTCTCACAGCTTCATCTCTGCTCTTTCATCTTTTTGTTCATTATCCCCGAGTCCTCTTATTTGGGGCTGGCAGCTGCATAATTTCCCCGTGGTCTCTGCTGTTGGCACATGTAACCAAGTACACGTGACGCAGGGTTTCTTACCAGCCAGCTCTTTCCCGCCTTCCTGTTTGCGCTGATAACAACAGTTCATTAGTTGAATAGCTACACCACTTGTGGTGTTGTTGTCAGGGCTGAGTCCCCCATCACTAATGGCGACCTTGTGAACAGCAGATCGAAACCTTGCCCTGTTCTTCAGTGCCTCACAGTCAAGTCTCCGCTGTGTGCAAGCCCATATTTGCATCTCTGTGTCAGTCTGTCGTGTGGAGGACTTCCCTTTCTCTCTCACCTCTGTTTTACCCAGCATGATAACTTTTCTATAGACTGGGACCTCCTGACAACATAACCAAAGTATGGGAGACAAAACTTCACCGTCTTTGCATCTGAGGACCACTTCTTCTACGACAGATTTTGTTTTTTCTTTTGGTAGTCTACACATGAAGAGATAAATATTCAATACTCATTACCAACACCACCATTCAGAGGCATCGATTCTTGGCTTTACTGCCTGTCTTCTGATTTGTTGTTACCTAATGCCGCTGGAACAGAGATACTGGGAGTGGCCAGCTTTAACACACTGATGTTCATTCCCTTAGTGTTCAGGAGGCCAGAACTCCCTGCGAGGCGATGGCTGAGGGAGGACATTTCGCTCCCTGGAGGTGTTGGGGAGACTCTTGCTCCTTTGAGCATCTCTACATCCAACATTTCTTGGGGAGCTCCATGCCATGAGCTTCCCGGTGTTGAGGAGCTTCCCAAAAGCAGAGTGCTGGGTCCAGAAGTCACCCCACTCCGTTTCTTTGTTGGTGCTACTGGGCTCTTCCCTTCTTTGCTGACTCTTCTGTCTTACAAGTTAAGAAGTGTCACACCCCAGGAAGTCTTATCACCTCAGGGATGTGATGGAATTTAAGCCCACCCTTAATCCTTTTACAGTTGCTTGGTTTATCAAATCATGGGAGCTGTCAGAAAACTTCAACATTAGGAAGCTCTGGTGGCCTAGTGTCAGGAAGCTGTATTGCAATCCCAGAGGCGCACGGTTCGAATCCACCAGATGCTCTGCTGAGGAAGGAGGGACAGTCTCCTCCTGTACCAGTCAGATCTGATTTGACGGTACACTCACACAAAAATAATAAAATAAATATTTAAAACAAACAAACAAAAAAACCCCTTGCACGTTGTATCTCTCCATGTGCATGTTTTGGGGGGTATTCAATTCTTTCCATGACACTTTATTCCATCCTCCTGTTCGTGCATTATCTTCTCTTGTATGTCTCTCCCTTTCTTTCCCACTGTGCATGGTTCTTCGGTGAGCCCTCTGTCCATCCTGTAGTCCTAACTCTAGTCCCGCTCAGAGCCTTTTGTTTTGTAGAGCATGGCGTTCAAGCCTCGTATCTGGCTTCAGCCCACTGGCCTGTGCGTCCCTGGAGGATGAAGCTGTTTCCGGGTGGCACAGTGTGTGTGGTCCAGCCAAGTGTTCCACTAGGCCATATGCACAGAAATTGAGATGTATCTTCTAGAAGCATGTAGCCGTTGCCATGGCCCCCAAGTGCTTTACAGGTGAACTCAGTGTGTTGAGCTGAAAATGGACTAGTTTGGGTGTTCAACTCATGTTGCGTCACAGTGACTTCAGCTGTGTACAGTCTCCTGCAGTAGGACTCTATACACCAGGCTCTGACAGATTAGAAACTTAGAAAGTAAGTCCTTCAGAGCTGATAATTTGGGAAGCCCTGTTCTCATTTGAATCCCCAGTGTTTGTATACCATTCTTGATGAATATTCATTGACAGCACGCACTGGCTACCTCTCTCACCAGACGCTCACTGCTGTCACATGGCCATGCCCTGGGGAGCCGGGGCGCTCATGCGGGGAGCATGCCCAGTGCTTTTCTCTTCACCCCCAGACCTCCTGCTGCTTCCTCGTCATCTCCATTTACATCTGTCAGGTCCCATCGACCTCTTTGGCCCAGAGGAGGCATTCGCTACTCCACAGCATCTTGTACCATCCTCTGCCCTTTCACTGAAGGCACTTGCTTATCACAGACTTGTCATTATACTTTATTTATTAAAATTCATCTCATTTTCCTCACTAAATTACAGACAAACTGTTTTATTCAGCTCTCTCCACAAGGGACATAGGTTTTCATCACCACCACCACCATCATCATCATCATCATAGCCCTTCAAAGTTTACTGAAATACTAGTAAAATAGTTATGTCTATTCGTTAGTGTTGTTAGTTTGGGCCAGACTCATAGTGAATCCCAGGTTCAGCAGGAAGAAATCCTACTCAGTCCTGAGCCATCCTCACCGCCATTGCTGGGTTTGAACTCATCGTTGCAAACCTTGTGTCACTTGAGCTCTGTGAAGATCTCCCTCTCTCCTCCAGCATTGTCTTTATCAGGCATCCTGGCTTTCTCCAGGGACTCGTCCTCCCCAGGACACGTTAAAGTCCTCGAGGCAGCCTTACTGGCCTGAATTCTAAGGAGCATCCTGACCGCTGACAGATTTGGAAGCAAAGTGCCAGAACATATATTATCCACCCAGCCTTCTCCACAGATGTGATTCCCCCAAAGGAAAACGCTGTCCATTTTACAGATGAGTGTTCGATTTGCAGGGGTGTTAGGTCATCACTGAGCAGTAAACAAGGTCTACAGTGAAATGCTCTTTCACATTGCCTTTCAGAACATAGTAAATGCTCAGTAAGTATTTACAAAGCAAAGCAAACTGCTCTGTTGACTGAGGGCATTATTAAGTGGAAGGGAATTTTAATCACATTTTGCCTCTTTAAAAAAAATCATCTTAAATAGTGTATCACTATGCAAGCTTAAAACCTTGATACGTTATTTGAATCGGGGTGAAACTTGACGATGTTAGCCCAGCAGTGGGAATGTTAATGCTCCTTTCAATACAGTTTTTCTTTTGTCTTATTGAACTAACCCTTCTCCTGCTTTAGAGTTCATGTAATGAAATTAGGTGTGGGAAGAGGCTCATGCAAATAAAGGTGATAATGCAACATAATTATTTAGGAGGAAGGACAAGGAGTTTTTTCTTTAAAATCCCAAAAACTTCTGTAATCTCTTGAATCTAAAATGAAATTATTTCCCTCTAATTCTGTGAACAAATTCAAGTCATCTCATGAGCATTTGGAAATTGGTAAATTACTGGGTTGGGGCCAGTTTTTAATCTTACAACCTGGAATAAAAAGAAATGGAGCCAAAAAAAAAAAAATCATCCTCTTGGGGACATTTGAAGAGGCCATATGCTGTGCCTGCCTGTTTTTGAGTCCGGCTCGTTGCTGTCACTCATGCTGGTGTGTCAGGGGCTTTGGGATACTGCTATTAATAATTCAAGGCCCAGATTTTGCTTTCTTTTTTAAAGGGCAGAAGAAATTCACTGCCGAGAACTGTCGGTTTATTCTTCCCAAGTTCTGCACTTCCTATCAATGCTTTATGGCCAAGCAGGTGGGGGCAGGAATGTGGTTTTTATGGACTCGGGCTTAAGCAAGCAGATTGAAGTCTGTTTTCTTTGAGGCTAAATCGATCTGTCTTGTACTGGTCAGACTTCTCCATCCTCTTTTCCCATCTGGACACTCATCACTAGTGACTTTGACCAGTTACTGCAATTTAAGAACCTGAACGGGGAGTAAAACTCAAGGAGAGACGGGAAAGTTTAAGATTGTCAGAGGCACACATCCTAGATGAGAAAGCAAAAGACAGTGCCGTCCAGCCTGGTTCCCACAGGCCTCTGTAGGCTGTCTCGTCCTTCCTTTCACTTCCTTTCTTCCCTGAACTGTCAGCACCCCCACTACCGCCCTTCACTTTGCGTTTCTCAGTGAACCCCTGAACTGTCAGCACCCCACTACTGCCCTTCACTTTGCGTTTCTCAGTGAACCCCTGAACTGTCAGCACACCCACTACC